TAACTATTGCACAGTTAAAATATATTTGTAATCAGAGTTAAGAGCACACCAACACACATCACTTCACAAGAAGCTATTTTTCTTCCCATTCCTACCCAAAACACTGAACTGTGCTTCTACCTAGTGATACTCATAGAAAAAACTATTACGTCCATTACAGATATTTTACTTCCATTTGTGACCTACTTACTGACTCTCCCACATGTTGGTGATTGGGTTAATAAATACGCAGAATTAACTATTGCACAGTTAAAATATATTTGTAATCAGAGTTAAGAGCACACCAACACACATCACTTCACAAGAAGCTATTTTTCTTCCCATTCCTACCCAAAACACTGAACTGTGCTTCTACCTAGTGATACTCATAGAAAAAACTATTACGTCCATTACAGATATTTTACTTCCATTTGTGACCTACTTACTGACTCTCCCACATGTTGGTGATTGGGTTAATAAATACGCAGAATTAACTATTGCACAGTTAAAATATATTTGTAATCAGAGTTAAGAGCACACCAACACACATCACTTCACAAGAAGCTATTTTTCTTCCCATTCCTACCCAAAACACTGAACTGTGCTTCTACCTAGTGATACTCATAGAAAAAACTATTACGTCCATTACAGATATTTTACTTCCATTTGTGACCTACTTACTGACTCTCCCACATGTTGGTGATTGGGTTAATAAATACACACAGTTAACTATTGCATAGTTAAAATATATTTGTAATCAGAGTTAAGAGCATGCCAACACACATCACTTCACAAGAAGCTATTTTTCTTCCCGTTCCTACTCAAAACACTGAACAGCAAAAACCAAAGAATAATTCATACATGTTGCCAACTTTGAACTTGACCACTCATCACCTCATACTTTCAGATTCTTACTGAGGATGATACAGTAACTACTAAAATTCTGATGTTTTCTGTAACTGTTCCTACAGTCTGATGAAGATTGGATGGAGCAACCTGCTCTCTCTCTTCCATATTGCCCCATTTCTGAAATGCTGCAGGCTGTAGTTACATGGGTGGACCTCTAACAACTCATTCACGACTACTTTTCAACCTGATCCCATCCAAATAAGTTAGATGAAGACCACAGTTTGTTCACCATACACCTACCAAAGCATGGTAGTATTTTCTCAGTCACTGGCAAAACAGATGTTAGGCCACATTGACCTTCTGCATAATGGCCTATTCTTTAGGACTGATCAGGCATGCTAGTATAATGGAAAACAAACAATTCTGCCAACTGTGATGAAGTACATGTCAAGATACATATATGCAGGCTCCAATAGGCTACCTGCCTTAATATTGTTGTATGCATAGTGTCCTAATACTTTATGAAGTTACCATATATATAATGGTCCCCTGGTTCTACAGATATCTGTAGACTTTATAAACAGGTATGAACAAGGCTGGAAAGTTGTGCACCAGTTTGTAGTACATATATTTCACGGATGTGTTGTTCTCTGGAATTCTGCATACTTCATTGACCTTCAGTCTAATTTCTTACATATACACATACTTATCTCTTTTTGGAGACACACACACTCATGCTTACAAACATATACAGCTGCAAAGACAAGCACACTACTGACATCACACCGCAGTCATGAAATTATTTTCCTTGCATGTCATTAAATATTCTTAACACTGGGAAAAATTTCAAATAAACATTTTCTATGTTCATGATCCTCTCATTATGCCATTACTTTATGCCCTTTGTGCAGATAACGTGCAATATCAAGTGTGTTTATTCACATTCTCCAAAGCAGTACAAGAATCTCTACATGCCCCAATGTTCATGCTCGAACTCACTGACACAATCCACATCTAAACAAACAAACAAACAAACAAACATTTCTTTAAAAACATGCTGACTTGTTCAAATCTGAAATCAAGTCACAGTCTCGTTCAAAATGAAACAATTGAGGAAGAGCAAAATGAGAACAGAGAATACTATGCACAGTGGAGACATACAAAACAGGATGCAGAACATACAAATGAAGAGAACAGAGAATATGAGTTTCTCACTTACTTAAACTGCAGACACTTTGTAACCTCCTTCTTCAGATGTAAAATTTCATAAAGCAAATTTTGTAACTGGAGATGATAACTATCCACCTGTTGCTTCTCACGATTTAAAGTATCACGTGATGTTTTGGTGCGGAATTTTTCTAGACGATTTAACTTTTTCAACACAACAAACAACAATGAAGCCTGGATACGTTTTTCTGATATCTCTGCCAGTATCTGTTCATTGTTCACGCCTGTGTTTCTTGCCTTCAATTTAGCAATTTCTTCCATTAGTTTACGAATATCATCACATGTTTTACAAAACAGAGCCATGTCATTTTCAGGATCCCGGGCAGATGCCTCCGTTTCCTCAAACTCTATTACACTCTGAAATCGAGAACACACATTATTTATAGGCTTCTCATTTTCATTTCAGTAATGCACTGACCACTATTAACAGCCTGAGCCACAGAATTACAGTCTCCACTCACCTAAGGCAAGCTAACAAAAAGTGAATGTACTACTTCAGTCTCAATTGTTCAATTTAATTACGTTCCATAAATCCAGATACAGGCAGACACCATAGGATATGGAACAAGTCAAATACAATATAAATACAATGATCTCTCTATAATAACAGTCTAGTAGAAAAAATGAATAAGATTATAAATTACATAAATATAAGTTGATTGTACTAATGCATCACAATTTGAGCCTGTTAACAGAAACAATGTCGATAAGTACATCGCTAATAAGTAATAAGATTATAAATTATGTAGATATAAGTTGATTATACTTGTGCATCACAATTTGAGCCTGTTATCAAAAACAATGTCAATGAGTACATCGTTAACGGTTAAAGAATGTGCAAGTAAAAGTAAGTAAGAGTAAGCGGCCTCCGTAGTCTAGAGGTAACGTTCCCACCTCATGACTCGTAGTACGCGGGTTCAAATACCCGGCGGAGGTCATCGAATTTTTACGGGTGGAAAAATTCAGGGAACAAGTTCTCCAGGAGGGACTTTAAGCCGTGGGTCCCGTGTCATAACTTTACGGCACGTTAAAGAACCTCATATCTCCAAAGGAGGTCACTGAGCCAAATTAACGGACGTTTCCCGCCCAACAGATGGGGGAAGCATTATAGATACCTCTCAGCCAGTAGAGCCGGTCTCGCTGGCTGGGCGGTACTGATGGTAAGCACCAGTACCGGTAGCATATAGAGACTGGTAGAAATCATAGAGGGAATCACAATGGACCAATACTGGTCTCAGTGCATGGGGAAACCCACCCTCTCCAATAACTAACTAACTAACTAACTAACTAACTAAGTAAGAGTAAGTAAAAGTAAAAGCAATCTCCATTCATACATTCACACGCAATCCATAGATCCTCATAAGGGAGGCCTGTGAATACAGTAAAATACAGTAAATCTAAATATATTACATTCTGACTCATTATATCTTGTTATCAGCCTGTATACGTCTACTTTTGTGTTCCTAAGTGCCTGGGTTATATTTATTTATTATTAGCTTCTGTTTCATGAATTATTTCATACATAAGAAAGTGACGGACAAAAGTGAACACACACTTTAAGAACAAGTAGGGATGAGTATGTGAACTCACAATGGTCCACACACAGGTAACAATGAAATGAGGTTTCATGAAGCTGCCTCTCCAAAAGTGACAATACTGAAGTGAGACTATAAGTTGTTCAAGACAGGAACTGTCAAAAATAAGCTAAGGAGTAGAAGCCATCAACAAGAGAGGTAGAGCATGCAGAAGGCACTGTAAATATAATGAGATCATGGCATAATTCTTGCAGAAAAGATCATCCGAACTTAGAATCACAAAAGAAACAATGTGAAGACACATGAAAGTGGAGCCTGAGCTGAAGGCATTTACCAACATATTCAGTAATGACAACCTTTCAACCATATCTAACTGCTCTGGACATTTTAAGCAGGTATTCACCACTATCGCCAAGCACAGCAAACTAATCCCCCAACCTCCAGATCAATGTACCCCTTATCAAAATTAAGGAGCAAGAAAAGTTTGTGTGAAGAGTATGGAGAACCTCCAATATGACGAAGAACTGGAAACGAAACCACCACACATTATGATCTGTCAGGGAAGCATGTTTTTGGACCACCAAAATTATCTGGAAAATTACATAATGAGCAACATAATTTGCACTCCTTACCAAATACTGTATTAAGCTGATAAAATAAAGGTAGACGGGATTTGCAGGGCACATAACACACGTAGAGCAGAACACAAAAGAATACAAAGTTTTGGTGGGACAACCTGAATCAAAATGACCATTTGGAAGACCTAGGCATAGATGGGATGATTAAACCGTGTCTTGGATATATCCGATGGGTGCATGCAGATTGGATTCATCTGGTTCAGGTTATGGAAATGTGGTGCGACCTCCAACACGTCACAATGAACCTTCGGCTTCCACAATATGTTGTGTATTTAATGACGTGCTGAGAAACTATTAGCTTCCTGAGAACGGTGTTTCAGTCAGTTTATTGGATAAACGATGGAGCACATACCGATGTGACACACGTTTCACACATGAGTACTGAGCCTCTGCACGCTCTCTATAAAACGTACAGCTGTTTCTCCTCCCTAATTCAACAAACCTTATAAATATCGCGTTCGGGAACTTTTGCTGGACTTGTAGACGTACTGCTACTACCACCTTTCCGACGCTTTTTTACAGCATTCTCACGTTCTTGCACCGGTTCCTTCACCATGATGGTTTCCCAATATAACTTCTTTCAGCGTCGCTGCACAACTGCACCAAAGGATTATAACCAAGCACATACTGATGAGATTTTATACACTGCTATTTGTACAGGACACAGTTCAATATATCAAACCAAGGATTAGTACATCACAATCAAACACAACAAAATACATACCGGTACTTCTTCCACGAACTCTACGAAACAGATTACCTTCGACGCCTTCGCCTTTCGCCTACATATGCTACAGCGAAAAAGTAAAATTCCAGGCCTTACGAATGACACCGGAATCGACTTCACTCCCATCTGTGAACGGATTATGGATAGTACAGTGCACCCTATTAAGATAATTAGGAACCACGTTATGTGGACTTCGGCAACACATTCGCAAAGATGTCTACCTACTATTATGGTGTCACTTCCCGACCCCTATTTACGTTTAAAGAGTTGATCCTAAGAGTGTACATATTTAGGATTTTTCATTATGACTGGTGGGTGTGTACTAACATGCATACTGCTTCCATTTCCATGGTAGAATATGGAGGCAGTTTTTTCCACTAAACCGTACCCTCCTAAAATGACTACTGCTAACACTGAGAACAGTGGCATTCGAAATTTTTTTTTAGTGTGAGGCATCCTTGATGTGAATGAACTCCGACACATATGAGACCAATTTAATATATGATGCGGCAGTTTAAACGTAAAATTCGGTATAATCATGCAACGTATTATAGGTGTCTCTTGAACCTCCCTAATTCCTCCTTGCCATGGGGCCAAATCATGAATGTGGCTTTGACGTACTGTACCAGTGTGCGGGTTTCTGTAGCGCTATCGTCAGAGCTTGTTGTTTGAAGTGCATCATAAAGAAACTGACTACAACTGGCAAAAACAGTGTTCCCATTACAACATGAACACAGTAAGATAGATGGGAGCACTTTAAAATGTTGTAAGGAGTCAATGAAAAACGAAATGAATTCTGTTGACAGACCAATTTTTCCTCATGTGGCCCACACTGGAATAGGACATCAATGGCTGTGTGACTCTGCCCACCGTTCCTCACCTGCTAAAAGTTAGGTTTGATGACAGCTTTGTGTATACATACAGTGTGCCAACACAAAACTCATCACAAATGTCTGATGATGGAGACAGACACAGTCTTTGAAACGATGGACACTAACTCCATACTGACAGGGATAATCATCTGAGAAGACTTCATTGCATACTGCTACTGTGAAAGCTATAAATCATATAAGGCTGTAAGACATTTTACCTGTAATTGTTCCATTTCATCTGACAGTACAGTTTGGTCACCATATATTTCGGTTTTTACTTGAATCAGAACTGGTTTTATAGCAGCAGCACAGATTTTAAGAATGAAAGAAGACGATAAAAATGTTAGAGTGACGGCATAAGAGATGTTGCAAGTGTTTTATAGTATAACGTAAGTATAAATTCTTGTATTAGTCTTAAACTCATTTTCTATTTAAGCTGGTTTTTCAAACAGAAAACACAAAATTCTTTAACTGTCACCTGATCTGCTTGAAATCTTGCACAAACGTTCATTCTTATAGATTCTAGGGGATGTATGAAACGAACTTAATGTAAGATGAAAAATGTAAAAAATTATCACAAAACTAAGAAAATTAGCGAAGATGATATAGACAGTACTACCACATTCAAATGGCTACATCCTTTAAAATATAATATTAGGTTTAGGCTAAAGAAACTAAATTATGAATGAGCTTTATAATAAAAGTGGTTTTGAGTTATTATTGCAACATATAAATTCTTTGTAAAGTATGTTTTCAACTGTATTTAAACAACAAAATAAATAGCAATTGGTGGTGCTCAATCTATGCAAATTTTCCTGACATGTAGATGTAGCACCACTACTGCGAGCCACCTTGAAATCCAGTATTCTGTTCAACTTTCAAGGTAAAAAATTCTCTCATATTTGAGAAAGAAGCCAACACGTCTTGTAAAGAACATATAAAGTTGAAGTGTTTTACACATAGAAAGACTGACCCCTCCTTTGCTGGAGAGGGAGCTCCATTTTGAAACACATACAGGTCTAGATGAGAATAAAAATCTTGGTCATGTATCTTGAGGAGACTGAAGCCAGGAATGACTGTGCTGGCAAAGACCAACAGTAATTTAACTGTTCAAAAGACCAACTTAATATAACAGTCCCTGATGTACAGTGTTAAACTAATGTGAGTAAAGAGAATAATAGGATGTTCTGAAGTTGCTAAAATACATCCTGAAGAATGAAGTCAGACAGTATTGTTACAATTTAGGGGTGACTATAGACAGAGTATGGGTTGATGAATGGATTTATTGACCACTTATACACGCCACTCGAAACTACAAGTAATTACAGCACTATCACTAATCTTCACACCGTACAAATCACCACAGCACCTGCTAACTGCTAACCCTTCTTCAACCTGCAGATTCTTCATCAGTCGTTCCCTAGCAACGGCTTCTAACAGTGGAGATTCTTCAGCTTCACGTGCTCACGTCCTATCTTAGCAGCCTCTCGTGCAGAACTTAACTCTCAACTAACAACTGACTAACTCCTAGGCCGGCAGCCATTTCACCCCAACCCCTCCTCATAGACTGATTTTCAATTGGATTTCTCCAATTGTCTTCTTTAGAACCACTTTGCATGGACCGAGTAGAAAAGAACGTTTCCAACAGTAACTGTATTGTTGTGTTCATGTTTGTGTTTACTGATCCGTAGCCTAGAAATGGATTGCATAACACCATTGTTAATTTGCCTATTGCACAACAATGGCTGTGCACCCTACAGTATTAAAAAATTTGTCAAGAAATTTCTAAGGTGATAATTAAAATATTTTTCATGTATATCTTGAAGATAAGCCATTTATGTGGTTACTTACTTATGTGTCACTTTTAGAGCCTTGTGTGTGTATTGCAGTGTTATAATGTATTTAATGTATTTACTGACTTAGTGTAGGCAGTTGGTTTAAGATTGAAACATACATTAATATGTAATTGTAGCGGTTTCCTGCAGTATGTGGTTTATTTCCAGGATGTTTTCTTATTTTTGTAATGAATGTTGTTGGAAACAACAGATCATTGCTTCGCTTCCATACAGTTTTACTAATGTCTCACAAACAACACTAAGACAGGACTTAGTGCAGTTTGAAAAATGAATGTCTGCAATTTTAAAAACAAACACAAGAAACAGATTAATATTTCATTTAATATATTTACAGTCATTGAATGCACAACACAATGGACATTTTTCAGCCCTTTCATTTGCAATCAGTGTTCAGTGTTTTCTGTAAAATTAAGAATATAACTTTGTGCAATCTGGAAACTACTTTTTCAAGTTAGCATTGAGACTTATATGTATATAGGCCACACCATAGCTCAAGCAATTAGTCACTGGCTTCCCATTGTGACGGCCCGGGTTCGATCCCGGGTCTGGTCAAGTGGGATTTGTGGTGGACAAAGTGGCACTGGGGCAGGTTTTCTCCAAGTACTTCGGTTTCCCCTGCCAATCTTCATTCCACCAATTGGTCCACAATCACCCTCACCTATCATCTGGGGCTGGTACAATAGGCCAAAAGTGGCCGCAGTACAAGGGACTTAGTCCCACCCCACTAGCAATAAAAAATAATATGTATATTTATTCATGAGAGGCATAAAGTGCTGTTACTGGGGCAGTACTGTTGTCGTGAAGATTGTGGGAGTGGTTACACCCACCCAGTGTGTTCCGGCGATAGTGGTTCCATTTTGCTCAGATTTTGGGAGGGATAATCGAAACTGTATCAGGATCACCAGGTACGTTGTTACAGCACCAACAATCTGAAAAATGGTTCATTAATTGGTTAGCTACACTAGATACCAGACACTAAACAAACAGAGCCCCAAAATAAGAAAACAGTGTGAACTACCTTACCAAAAATGTTACTGGTGATGTTTTCTTCACAACAGGTGTAATGTCCATTATACCATAACTTCATTGTCAGAGAGGCTTGTGTGTCAGAATGACATGGCATAAATTCTGACAGAAGACCCTCTAAACAAGCAACTTCAGGATTTATGGGGGCACAGTACAGTTCCCTCTCAGGTCTTTTAATGACACTGTTGCATCTTGGTCTCAGTATGTGATGTACAGATGAATATGTAGACTAGCAAGTATGCTTAGGCATTATTCACTTCTCTTCTGGGGACTCTGTCCCTAGAGGGTTGTAAGCCCCAGGGAAAATTGACCAATGCAGGAAACTCTCCACTTTATGTAAGTGAGAAACAATGAGCTTCAATGGCACAAACATGCTGGTTTGGTTTTCGTGGTGTCTAGCTGCATGCTCATTATAGAGTTTATCTTTCTACACATTATAACCATCCTGGAGCTCCCCACAAATTAATGAGCTGCTCAGACAGAAGTGTATGACTTTTCTCCCATCTAGTTGGACACAGAGATTTGGTCCACAAACCAAATTGGCAAGCCTATAGTCCAAAATATTATGAATAAAGTTTACCAAAATTATAGCAGATGTGAGAAATGAACTCTGGCTTCAAGGAAGTTCTTGTTTGAACCTCTATGGGCCAAGCTCAATTAACTAATATTAAAAAATGTTGGCTTAAAACTCCATAACACAGCATGTTTCAACTACCAGTGTTTGAGAAAGGTGTGTTATTCATTGCATGAGCCAGACCAAACAAATAAACAGGCATCATGAACTATGCACGAATTTAAATTTCAGGTCAAACAGTACATACAGCTGCCATTGCTATATAAATGCTATATACCAACATCAACTTCTAATATTTCAGTTTATACAAATATCCTAAGTGTAGCTGGTTGAGGCACTATGTTGCAAGCCAGAAGGTCGCGGGATCAAGTCCTGATGAGGTCAATGGATTTTTTTCAATTGACCTAATCCTTCCAGCTGCATTATGGCCCTGGAGTTGACTCAGCCTCTAACAGAAATGAGCACCAGGAAGTAATTAAATAATTTTCCTGGGGAGTAAATGGTGGCCGGTGCGTAAGGCTGACAACCTTACCACCATCTTTGAGCCGATTGTCTAGATAATGTGGGACCCTCAATGTCTGACAACCCTATGGGCCTCCATGGCCTGTTACAGGGATAGCTTTATTTTACTTTCACTTTTTTTTTTGTAGGTGTAGTAACCGAATCATGGAGGTATGAATATTTATCAGATAAGCAATTTGGGTGATTTGGCTTAGAAAACAATTAACCACTCAGTCCGAGAACACTGTTGTCACTTGTTGCATGCAGCTAATGACAGTGCCTTACCGAGTAGAGAAGTGTGAAATCTAGGGGGAAGAATCCACAGGCTGTGAACTTGACCTTTCGATGTAACAACTGGAGTGAGAACAGACGGAGCTGAAATAAATGAAGATGCTATTCCAGAAATATGACCAGGACTGTATACTGAATAACTCTTGCAATTTATTAATAGGCTACTTATGAAAATGCTAAAAATTAACAAGACGTTTATTATGACTAGAATAGTAACCTTTTAAAGTAGTTTTGTGTAATAATATTTCAAAATTTGGTTTCACCTCACAGGAAACACATTGCAACTTTGCTACAAAGGTAAACTGATACTATAGTCTATGTGACTGATTGGAAGAGGTAAGTGAATTTGATATCATACCACATGAGACAATACGTACCTCCTCTCTGAGACCAGAGTCTCGCGTCTTGGTGATCAGTTTGTGCACCAGAACTGCGGTGTGATTTGCCTGGAATTGAAAGTATACACATTATAAGGTGTATCAGCAAATGTCTGATTTCTGAGGAGCGGTTAGAAATAAATACAGTAGTGAGAAAAACGATAAAATATATATATAAAATAATAATTCTGGAGTGGTAGTTCCATTTTCTTCAAATATCGTAAAAACTCAAGAATTAAGGAGACGTGTGAGGGGCATGGTATGTGTGCCTTATTTTTCTTTACAACTTTTGTTTGATGAATTTGTCGTTCCATTAAATGCTAAGGAGTTATTCTCTAGAAGTGTATAGAAATGCATGTAGTCCTTAAAGTAAAGAGTTCATTATCGGTACTGTATTTATCAGAACTGCAAAATGTTGATGAATGTTAGAAAAAAGAAATTGATTGTCTTTTTCATGGAAATCCCCTAAAAGTTCTCAAGTTGTTACATTCAGAGAGAAACTGATAGGTGTATTTTTTAACTTTTCGTTGAGAAAGAGTCAGAAATACTAACATCACTAACAGTGAAAGAAGGACTCAGGGGAAAGAGAAGCTGTGGATCTCCGTTGCACATCATGACTTGGAAGAAACGGTGTAGTTGTAGGTCTGGTATCTGGGACCCAACTTGAGAGGTCTCTCTCTTGCGAGTCCCAAAAATTCATCCTCTTCTTTAGGACCAGAGCAGGTCTGTGAATGGTATGGTGGGAAAGAAGAAAGGTCAAAGAAAGGGATGAGAATTAAAGGACTGAGAGCATTGAAAGAATAAAAAAGTAATATAGAAAGAAGAATTCAAAAAACAATCCAAATAAAAGGTGAAAGAGGAAAGAAAACAAAAGAAAAGAAACAAGATTTGTATCACCTACGACAACAGGATCGAACAGTGGTAATTGTTGTCAGGACTGCCAGGAGCCTCATTCGGTCTGAGTGTTGCCTGACTCGGTATTAATCATCCCCATGGAAGAGAACATCAACGTGAGCGGCCTGTCAAATGTTACTTTATCAAATTAATATAGATCATGTTTGTGAGCACTACCAGACTTGTTCATTACATTGTAAATTATTTGTGTGGCTCTAGTTTAATGAAGAATTTATGGCTCAAGCGGAAATGCTTCAGACTTTTATTCAGGAGAAAATCCGGTCGAAACTTGGCCCAGACAAATGGCGGAGCTTGTATCTTAAACCGCGGTAGCCTGAATAACATTCTGAAAAATGAAATAAACTGTTATTTTTGTTATTCAGTGATACCTCACATATTGGCAGGAGAAGGGATTGGAAAATAAATTGTCTTTCAACTACAGCCACACGTTACATGGTTGTTAACCATTTCCCTACGGCTTTCTTTTGCCTTTTCTGGCTGCAGGCACAGGCACGACTGTCAAGCGGACATTCTCTGATCTGAAGAAGGCCCAGACTTAACTTATGAAGCATACAGATTCATGAGAGTGTCACCAAGTTATCAATAATGGCACGTGAGAAGAAAATTATCCAGCAATTAGAAAAATGTCCACATGCCTATGAGTTTGTGAGAGATGTTTTCACTGGGGGGGGATCATCGTATGGAGCACAAGAACAATGTACAATGAAACAGGTAACCTGAGTGAGTTCGAGCTTGGATGATAAGCCAAGCCTAGAGTATGGCCTTTTTTGTAGAAGTTCGTAAAGTAAAGCTGTCCCTGTGCTTAACTAATTCAGCACTATGCAATGAAGGCGTATGGGGGAGTGGATGTATAAATCCACATTTTCTTGACCTCGGCACTAGTTGGAGGTGAGCGGCCAGCTTCACGCCCCTACCGCTTTACGCCCGAGGAAAGAACCCTTGGTATCCATTGGATAGGGGGTTGAGCAACCCCAGATCCGGTCTGGACACCCTGGAGAAGTAAAAATTCTTGCCCCCACCGGAACTCGAACTCCGACCCCATACCGCTATACCGGCTACGCTATCCCAGCTCACGTAGATGTTCGTATGAGTGAAATTTCGTAACGCCGATATTCGTAAAGCTAGGACTATCCGTATATAAATTTAATAAACGGAGGTTTACTTATTTTAGTTTTGAAATAAATGGCCCGCGAATCCATGGCTCTCCAACTCGACCAGGTCGAAATAACAGAGACCAAAAGCGAGTATAAATATGTCTGTACTAATTCCGCATTGTAGCCTCCAGTTGTGTATGGTTTAACTATCATGTTCTATTTCCGTCTTTTGCGCTACTCTGAGTTTGCGGTTTTAAGTGTCCATTCAGTCTGCCATTTTGTTTCCATTAACACTGCATAATATACTTTTTCTAATAAATAGGCATCATCCGTTTGGCACTATATTGTAAGTTTGTGCGTTATATTGCTCGCGGTACTTGTCAACGCAATTTAGATTTAAATTGAAAAGTGTAGCAGGATCCAAGTTACAGTTAATATCATGACCTCTGCCTTTCTCATACCGTTGGTATTAATGTGATATTTGTTTCTGTTCCTTCCTATTGTTACTTTTCATGTGGCACAACCAACAACCAGCGATAATCGCTAGAAAACAACAGTAAAAAAGCAGCATCAAACATCACACTAATGAACAGCTACGGCCCGAAAAAGTATAGGGCACTATATTAATCATAACGGTCGAATCTATTACACTCTTATCTCTAAATTTTAATTACATTGCCAGCTGCCACGATCAATACAACGCAATATAACACAGCAGTAGCATGTAGACATATCTGGTGTCCCTCTTCCACAGGCTGTTTAATGACGCATTCATTATCGAGACTATATACCGTTGGATTGTATGAAGATAGATCAATAATAAAAAAAGGTAAGAAGAAGTTGTCCCTGTGCTTAACTAATTAAGCACTACGCCATGAAGGAGTATGTGGGAGTGGATGTAAGGTGTACACTTTCTTGACCTCGGCACTAGCTAGAGGTGAGTGGTCAGCTTCACGCTCTGTCTGGACGACGTGGAGAAGAGAAAATCCTTGACCCTAACGGGGATTCGAATTCCGACCCGTCCAGCCCGTAGCCAGTCGTCGAGTCGACCCCAGGGTAATAGTGCGGCCGGAAGGATTAGGTCAAATTGAAAAAAATCCCATGACCTCATCGGGACTTGAACCCGCGACCTTCCAGCTTGTAGCATAGTGCCTCAACCAACCAGTAAAGTTAAGTGCCATCTACTGTGGTTAGCGTGTTGAAATTTAAAGTAAAACATTATTATTTATTAAACAGGAAAACAAAGAGAAAATGAGTGGGTACAAAAATTACGAGTAAATAGGAAAGACAGAGACGGAAAAGTAAGGAGTGACGCATAAGTGTGTCAGCCTCAGTGTACACTGAATTTAAATGGCGTGTCAAAAGGAAGGAAGTGGAAATCATGTTGAAAGGGTAAAGGGTCGATCAATATATTACATTAACAGACAAAGCAATTTTCTCCTTTGCATTAGACCATACATTCATCATAATAAAGCAACATACATTGTATTTGCTTGTCTTGTGAAGTACTAAATCTTATAAAAAGAGAGTAACTATCCCAGTAGAGGGTTGTGGAGTCCCATAGGGATGTGTGACGTCAAGGTTCCCAAATTTTCTAGTCAATCGGCTCACAGATGACAAATCAGTACTAACCTAGAAAACTGTTACTTTGCGCTCCACATTTTCGAAACACACACTGACCGACAAGACCGAACAGACTGTGTAGCTGTTCTAGATTTGTGTTCGAGAGTTTTCGGTTAGAATGTCGCCTAGGACACCGTCTGTACCGAAAATTGTCGCTGGTTTTCTCAGTTCCAACGGGCAGGAACTATAACCGAATTCTTTTTACAGCCGGACTTTCAACTGAACACTCGTAACTAACATTTTCTTCACAGTCTCCCATACAGAACTGGAGTCAGTGATTGAGATTAGCTCTTGCTAAGGGGCCCAACTGAGGTGTCTTTCCTCCTCACCTGAAGACGGAAACAGATCCAGTTTCCGAAACGTCGTATTTTCTATTTCTTTGAATTCCCGAAGATGGAAAAAAGTCCAAAATCCCAGTAATTCTGTGACCCTCAATCAAATCTGCACGGGGACAACTTCACGTAGCCACAGAATCTTCCAGAAGGAGGCCATATGGAAAACTTACGTGAAACTGGAAGGAAGAAATGGGATGTGAGGGTCAACTGGTATGAAGTCGTTGATGACGGTATCAAATGGCAATAATGTACAGTCTGGTTCCATAAGAGACTAGGGGTTACCTGACCAACCAAAAAACTAGAATTCTTTTAAGAAGGACTTTTCAGAGTATAACTACTTTTTTTTTATTGCTAGTGGGGTGGGACTAAGTCCCTTATACTGCGGCCACTTCTGGCCTATTGTAACAGCCCCAGATGATAGGTGAGGGTGATTGTTGGGTAATTGGTGGAATGAAGATTGGCAGGGGAAATCGAAGTATTCGGAGAAAACCTGCCCCAGCGCCACTTTGTTCACCACAACTCCCACTTGACCAGACCCGGGATCGAACCTGGGCCCCCGCGGTGGGAAGCCAGCGACTAACCGCTTGAGCTATGGCGCGGCCAGTATAACTACTTACGCGGCAGCATGGTTTGTCGAGGCACTATGCTACAATCTGGAAGGTCGCGGTTACGAGCCCCAGTGAGTGGATTTTTTAAAATGACGTAATCCTTCCAGCCATGGGGTCAACTAAGCCTCTAACAGGAATTTCCCTGGGGGGGGGGAAGGCAGCCGGCGCGTAAGGCTGATAACCTTACCGCCATCTGTGAGCCGATTGTCTAGAGAAAATATGGGAGCCTCGACGTCTCACAACCCTATCGGCCTTCACGGCCAGTTACAGGGATAACTTTACCTTTCATTAATTACATTATATATTCTGAAGTTGGGGGCACGTGGTAGCGTAGTTGGTTGAGGCACTATGCTACAATCCTGAAAGTCGCGGGTTCAAGTCCCGATGAGGTCATTGGATTTTTTCAATTGACCTAATCCTTCCAGTCGCACTATGGCCCTGGGGTTGACTCAAGCCTCTAACAGAAATTAAAACCAGGAATTAATTAAATAATTTTCCTGGGGAGTAAAGCGCGGCCGGCGCGTAAGGCTGACAACCTTACCGCCATCTTTGAGCTGATTGTCTAGATAATGTGGGGACCTCAACATCTCAGAACCCTATGGGCCTTCATGGCCTGGTACAGGGGTAGCTTTACTTTTTACTTTTACTCTGAAGTTGGAATACACCAAGCAGAATAAAGAAATAAGGGCCAACTTACTTGCTGGATAGTCGAGCTGCTGTAGTAGACTAGCCACACAAGCTTGATGGCGTAGTGCAGGAACCACATGTAATTAGAATACGGTGACCCCAGACCACACGTCTTAGAATGGTTCGTGAACAAGTGAATGATAATGAAATAAAGATTGTGGGTAAGACAAATGAACGTCTTAGCCGAGGTGTACAACAACAGGAAAGAATAAACAGAGTTCAGTTTTTCTGAGGTTGCACAGAGGGAGTCCTGAATATCTCGTAAGAAAACCACTTTAGTGTCACGGAATTCACTGCCGGAAGTGTCAGCACCATTGTTTCGCAGCTTCTCGTAAGCAGAGCTGACGAATACTGGAGCAGTACTGTTCAATGGTGAAGTTTTGGGACAAGAACATGTATCGTCCTTGTTCCCTTTTACTCTTCCAAGATCACGGACAGAGTTATTCAGGTCTGAAATTAGTTGTTTCAAAAGCATTAAGAAACAAACGATCTGAAATTCAACGAGAAAGGAGGCAAAACTTAGAATAATGAAAGTTATATACGACATCGAAGGTGGGTCTTGAATGCGAGCTAGCACATCAGACACAAAGCAGCTTATGACACTGAGGAGACTGATGAAGAGGTGGGAAAGGAGAATTCGACAGATTCTCTTCCAGACACACACACATGAACGCTTAAGAGAGGCGTTCAGACTGGCCAACTGATTAGCGATATGAACTATTTTGTGTCGCTTCAACAGACACACAAAAGCCGACAGGACGAACTGAATGATGGTCCCAAAGGTTATGACCCGTCCACTGACACTGCAAATCGATACCCCTTTTAAGATATACCAGAAGCTGGGCTGATACATGACCAGGAAAGACGAAACTATGATAAAGACGACACTGTACAGAACGTCGATGAAAGAAGTTCGAAGCAGGCGAGAACCCAGTTTTCCAGACACAGAGTATGGTGCTAGCCCAAAACATTTGATAAACAGAATTACTGGCTTGAAGACGGTGAATGTGTCGGCTGTAACAGCGGACATCCTTCGGCAACAAAAACAGAGCTACGTCTGCCAAGTCCTGCGGGTGTGACAGGGCTGCCAGGGGCTACGTCAATATGAACACCGGAGCGCAACGTGGGCACAGACCCAATGGCATTACTCTGGAAGTGGTTACTAAGTTCTTCTTTCCCCCGTTACTTTTGACTCGGTTCTTTTATATCCTGGAACCGCTGAAGCCATTTCCTTTGCTCAAGATATAACCAATCAATTTTTCTTACCCCTCACATTCTTCTCTTGTGTCTTAGAGGGCGAGGTTGCTGTTGACGTAAGACACTTAGTGCGAGGGGTTTAATGAGTCGAACCAGTTCAACTACGTGAATTGTGTCTCACAATGCATTGTAATTCCACTGCCTTCTGCCACGCAAGCTGAAATTTAATTTTCATATGATGAGTTAAAGGATTGCCACAGGCCGCGCCATAACTCAAGCGGTTAATCGCTGGTTTTCCACGGCGGCGGCCCGGGTTCAAACCCGGGTCTGGTCAAGTGGGATTTGTGTTGGACAAAGTGGCGCTGGGGTAGGTTTTCTCCGAGTACTTCGGTTTCCCCTGTCAATCTTCATTCCACCAAATTCTCCGTCATCATAATCACCCGGGACAAGTACAATAGGCCAGTCAGTGGCCGCCGTGCCGAGTTGACCCAGTTGGGCTCCAACCCCCACTATGCGAAGCGAATTAAAAGAATAATAAAAGATTACCATCGGCAAAGAACACCCAAAGCAGAAAACAGAATTTTGTTTTGAGTGCAGTGTTTAAGACACACAAGCTTACAGTATATACAACACAATTCAAAATGTTCTGAATTTATCCAAAGCAAACCAGTTTTAACATATACATATACTATTAAAACTTAAGCATTTCAATTAGTAATGATTAATTAATCTAAATCTATATTTATTTATTTATTTATTCAATTATTTACAAATACAGTAAAATAGGTTGAGTTTCAGTCTTACAAGCTTAACACAATTGTTAAGTCAGTCATCAGTTATTTGGATGATAGAAGAGAATGTTATGCTGCACAGACACAGATTTGAGCTTCTGGACGACCTCGCATCCGTAAACGTTCAGCATCTTCACAGTAAAGCACTTTGCCTACAAAGACCATAGCCACATGGTCTGTAGCCTCTCGCTATGTTGGCACGTTCGGAATTTCAAATTATTTATTTGAATATAGAAACCTCCAAGTACTAAGTCTTGCAAATAATCTTAAATCACGATATTTTTAATCTCTTCTTAACACAAATAAATTTTGTGCTGTTACCAGCTGTAAGACTTTTTTTAAAGAAGCGAGACAGAAATGTGGTTTCCATTTCCAGGGCCTAGNTTAACCGTTATATTTCTAATTTTAAATTTTTATTATCTAAGGATTTTGCAGTTTTACCACTTTTACCAAAAATTAATACAGGTGTTTATGCATTTCAATAATTTCAATACACAATAAGGATCCTTGTTTGAAGAGTTAGATGATAATTACTTTCAATTCATCAGCTCATACTGGAACGTTGTACGCCTGATGATGACCCGGTATAAAAAAAAAAAGAAAAGCTATCCCTGTAACAGGCCGTGAAGGCTGGTAGTGTTCTGAGACAATGAGGGGCCCACATTTTCTCTAGACAATCGGCTCACAAATGGCAGCACGTTTGTCAGCCTCACGCGACGGTGGTCCTTTGCCCCCCAGGAAGATTCCTGGTACTCATTTCTGTTAGAGGTTGAGTCAACCCCAGGTCCGTATTGCGGCTGGAAGGATTGGGTCAGTTGAAAAAATCCACCTCATCGGGACTCGAAACGTTAATAATCATTATTACTGTTGCACATTTCATACATTGAATATAAAAATGTCATATAATACAACATATTAATGAATCATTTAAAGTTAAATTGTCCCGTGCTTAATTAGTTAAGCTTTATGCACAAAAGACATGGAAGAGTGTAGGTATAGCTCCATCATTTTTGACCTCGACACACCCTGGAAGTGAGTAGGCAGCTTCACGCCCCTGGTAACTTAATTTGTCGATCGTTTATAACCCGCAACTACAAATAAATCTAAGATTCTCACCGGCACAGAACCACGACCGCTTCCTTCCAAATAATTTCCAATTCAAACTTTATTGGTCAGATTTCAAACAGAAAATGCTGTACAGAATATTTTAACAATATTTTAATCTGCTTTGTACAACGTAATGCAAAAGTGAGATACATGTGTGTACATGTTATGTTTTCATGTATTTTGCACATTACTGAGAGTAAGTTAAGTAACTTTTCGGGACACTTTCCTATTGGGCCACAGGCTGGGCACTCACAAGGAGGACTTTTGCCTCGTTAGATATTCACCAGGGTTGAATGTTATTTTATTGATTTTATATGACCATATGAAAAAGTGTCCGCCGTATGGTACTGGGTTAATTCACAGCTTCTAAACATGTGACAATGCCAGATTTCATGGGCCGCTCACTTATGTTGTGAAATTATTTACAGAGTGAAGATTTGCAGAGCATAAAAGAAGCTATGCTTCGAAATGTGGAATTGGATTCATCGTACTCAGATGCTTCCTCTTCACGTGAAGAGGACGAGGTAGATGAAGGTCAAATTCACGAGGACAATATCATAGCAACTGGAATGGCTCAAGAAATAGAGGCCATAAAGTGGGAGAGGGATGCCCTAAAACGAGAAATAGAAGAACTTCAAGACCACTGTAGGGGTATTTGGCCACTGAAAGCTCATGCCTACGAAGTCGCAGGAGAGAGAAAATTCCTTACATTAGAAGTAGAACTCAAAGCAGAGATTACAGAAAACATAATGGAGGAGAGACAAGTTCTGAGGCTTCAAACAGAGGAGCTCAGAGACCAAATTAAATCACCTTATAAACGCGCCTTAAACAACGCTAGAGGTGCCTTAAAACTTGCAACACAAAATCTCCTTGACCAGCGTAAGGCCGCTGCAAAATTGGAAGAGCAACTAAACCGTGCAAGAAAGTGATATGAAGACATCACAACAGAGAGAGAATCTGCAAAATTAAAATGCCAAAAGTCAGAAGCGGATTGTAAGGACATGAGAAAGAATGTGGAGGCCCTCAAAGCTGAAAGAGGAAAACTCTTAGCTCAGAATGAAGATCTTCTGGAAAACTAATTAAGAGCAGCGAGACTGCTTTGCGAAAACTTGAAAAAAGAGAGACATTTACAAATTAGAAGCACCAGGGACAGCAGGGAATAGAGTGGCCACGAGCGAGGATAAAAATTTCCTCAAAGTTGCAGCAAAAAGTCTCGGAATTCAAACCTATGACACTGCCCTATACGAAGAGCAATTACAGTGTGCAAGAGAAGGATGCGCCAGCATAGAAACAGAGAGAGACTCTCTGATACACGAAGTCCAACACATGGAAACGGACAGAGAGGACACAGAGGAGGACCTTCACGATACGGCTTTACAGGAAGAGCAATTAAACGTTGTAAACAAAACTTGCTACAACCATGCAAAAAATAAAGACTCTTCGGTAATGGAAGTTCAACATATGGGAACAGATATTAAGGCCACAGAAGAGGACCTCAATGGCACCCAGCTGCAAGAAGAGCAGTTAAACGTTGAAGGAGACGACTTATACAACTTCGCGAATGAGAAGGTCTTTTTAATACTCGAAACTCAAAACTTGTTAACGGATAGACAGGCCACAGAAGATGAAGTCGACGACGATGAGCTACAGGAAGAGCAGTTCGACATTATAAGAGAAGACTGCTACAACATCGTAAAAGAGCTCGAATCCCTAATCATCGAATGTGATTCCATGGGAACCAGTAGCGAGACCACAGAAGAGGAAGTCGACGACGACGAGCTACAGGAAAAGCAGTTCGACATTATAAGGGAAGACTGCTACAACATCGTAAAAGAGCTCGAATCTGATTCCATGGGAACCAATAGCGAGACCACAGAAGAGGAAGTCGACGACGATGAGCTACAGGAAGAGCAGTTCGACATTATAAGGGAAGATTGCTACAACATAGTAAAAGAGCTCGAATACCTAACCTCGAATCTGATTCCATGGGAAGATTGAGGAGACAGTGGCCGTCTGACCTACCACAACCCGCAGATGACGAAGATTAAAACCATCACCATTCCTCTACAGGGCCTGTCAGACTATCATCAGTGGATACTTATCTACTCGAGACACCTACTTAGAACAAATTTACTTCTTTCTCCATATTGCTGAGAGTAGACTGTAAATACGCTATTAATGAAATAAGAAATAAAACTCTTGCTATCTGTTTCAACAATAATGCTGTTGTTATTTTCTTTCGCTCGGATACTGATTTCCTTTGATAATTGGTTATTATATCGTTGTGGGGTTACTGGGTTTTCTTCAACAACGATACTGTTATTCTGTCGTTGCGTCGATACTGACTTCCTTCAACAATAATGCTCTTATTCTCTCGTTGCGTGGATACTGAATTCCTTCGACAATAATACTATTAGGTCCGACCGGTGTATAAATTTTCCTCAACTTTCAATACAGAAGCCAATTTATATCAAGGTGAACAGAGATAATCTAATTCAGCAGCGATGGGAGGCAATTTATCTCGTGAAAATTATCGAGATTATCCAGGAAATGAGGAGGTAAGTGAAAACTAAAGAAGACAGCAACTTGAAAAGTATTTCGATAACGTTAACCAAACTGAGAGAGTGACAGATCTCAGAAGCTCGCAAGTCCTGCACTTGATAATACGTATATAAATGTACTATCTCAAAAGACCAATATTTACATGCAAATCTTAACCAGCTCCATACTGTACAGCACTTTATTGCACTGTAGCTGCATATTTCGACCTCGATGTGAGCATCATCAAGCCATCATTGTCCACTTAGGATATACATTTTGTTTGTTTACTGGCTGTGACAGAGAATCCTCCTTTAAATATTAATAATCCGATTTAACTTTAAAAAATGTAATATAGTAAGTACAAACTCCGTAAAAATTTACTAGGTCATGATTACATGACCTATCCCATGTAGAGAGATTCCGATCGCTTATACCGGTATAAAATCTAGGCCAACACGTAGCGGTTAAAGAGTCTTACCACAAAAAACAGAATTTATCATTCATGTCTTAATCTTTCGTTTTAATTTTAACCGTTATATTTCTAATTTTAAATTTTTATTATCTAAGGATTTTGCAGTTTTACCACTTTTACCAAAAATTAATACAGGTGTTTATGCATTTCAATAATTTCAATACACAATAAGGATCCTTGTTTGAAGAGTTAGATGATAATTACTTTCAATTCATCAGCTCATACTGGAACGTTGTACGCCTGATGATGACCCGGTATAAAAAAAAAAAGTAAAGCTATCCCTGTAACAGGCCGTGAAGGCTGGTAGTGTTCTGAGACAATGAGGGGCCCACATTTTCTCTAGACAATCGGCTCACAAATGGCAGCACGTTTGTCAGCCTCACGCGACGGTGGTCCTTTGCCCCCCAGGAAGATTCCTGGTACTCATTTCTGTTAGAGGTTGAGTCAACCCCAGGTCCGTATTGCGGCTGGAAGGATTGGGTCAGTTGAAAAAATCCACCTCATCGGGACTCGAAACGTTAATAATCATTATTACTGTTGCACATTTCATACATTGAATATAAAAATGTCATATAATACAACATATTAATGAATCATTTAAAGTTAAATTGTCCCGTGCTTAATTAATTAAGCTTTATGCATTAAAGGCATGGAAGAGTGTAGGTATAGCTCCATCATTTTTGACCTCGACACACCCTGGAAGTGAGTAGGCAGCTTCACGCCCCTGGTAACTTAATTTGTCGATCGTTTATAACCCGCAACTACAAATAAATCTAAGATTCTCACCGGCACAGAACCACGACCGCTTCCTTCCAAATAATTTCCAATTCAAACTTTATTGGTCAGATTTCAAACAGAAAATGCTGTACAGAATATTTTAACAATATTTTAATCTGCTTTGTACAACGTAATGCAAAAGTGAGATACATGTGTGTACATGTTATGTTTTCATGTATTTTGCACATTACTGAGAGTAAGTTAAGTAACTTTTCGGGACACTTTCCTATTGGGCCACAGGCTGGGCACTCACAAGGAGGACTTTTGCCTCGTTAGATATTCACCAGGGTTGAATGTTATTTTATTGATTTTATATGACCATATGAAAAAGTGTCCGCCGTATGGTACTGGGTTAATTCACAGCTTCTAAACATGTGACAATGCCAGATTTCATGGGCCGCTCACTTATGTTGTGAAATTATTTACAGAGTGAAGATTTGCAGAGCATAAAAGAAGCTATGCTTCGAAATATGGAATTGGATTCATCGTACTCAGATGCTTCCTCTTCACGTGAAGAGGACGAGGTAGATGAAGGTCAAATTCACGAGGACAATATCATAGCAACAGGAATGGCTCAAGAAATAGAGGCCATAAAGTGGGAGAGGGATGCCCTAAAACGAGAAATAGAAGAACTTCAAGACCACTGTAGGGGTATTTGGCCACTGAAAGCTCATGCCTACGAAGTCGCAGGAGAGAGAAAATTCCTTACATTAGAAGTAGAACTCAAAGCAGAGATTACAGAAAACATAATGGAGGAGAGACAAGTTCTGAGGCTTCAAACAGAGGAGCTCAGAGACCAAATTAAATCACCTTATAAACGCGCCTTAAACAACGCTAGAGGTGCCTTAAAACTTGCAACACAAAATCTCCTTGACCAGCGTAAGGCCGCTGCAAAATTGGAAGAGCAACTAAACCGTGCAAGAAAGTGATATGAAGACATCACAACAGAGAGAGAATCTGCAAAATTAAAATGCCAAAAGTCAGAAGCGGATTGTAAGGACATGAGAAAGAATGTGGAGGCCCTCAAAGCTGAAAGAGGAAAACTCTTAGCTCAGAATGAAGATCTTCTGGAAAACCAATTAAGAGCAGCGAGACTGCTTTGCGAAAACTTGAAAAAAGAGAGACATTTACAAATTAGAAGCACCAGGGACAGCAGGGAATAGAGTGGCCACGAGCGAGGATAAAAATTTCCTCAAAGTTGCAGCAAAAAGTCTCGGAATTCAAACCTATGACACTGCCCTATACGAAGAGCAATTACAGTGTGCAAGAGAAGGACGCGCCAGCATAGAAACAGAGAGAGACTCTCTGATACACGAAGTCCAACACATGGAAACGGACAGAGAGGACACAGAGGAGGACCTTGACGATACGGCTTTACAGGAAGAGCAATTAAACGTTGTAAACAAAACTTGCTACAACCATGCAAAAGATAAAGACTCTTCGGTAATGGAAGTTCAACATATGGGAACAGATATTAAGGCCACAGAAGAGGACCTCAATGGCACCCAGCTGCAAGAAGAGCAGTTAAACTTTGAAGGAGACAACTTATACAACTTCGCGAATGAGAAGGTCTTTTTAATACTCGAAACTCAAAACTTGTTAACGGATAGACAGGCCACAGAAGATGAAGTCGACGACGATGAGCTACAGGAAGAGCAGTTTGACATTATAAGAGAAGACTGCTACAACATCGTAAAAGAGCTCGAATACCTAACCTCAAATCTGATTCCATGAGAAGATTGAGGAGGCAGTGGCCGTCTGACCTACAATAAGTGGCCCGGTGGGCGACTTTTGTCTCNATGAGTGTATGCACTGCAAGACGGTTTAAATAAATCATGGACTTTTGTCTCCTCGTAGCCATTGAAACATTTGAGAAAGGTGCTTCAATAAAAGTGAAAATAAATAACTAAATAATGCAAAATTATGTATTGCATTTTTGGCAAACATCCGTTTTTGGAAGTATAAGTGGGATAGTAGTTAACATTCTTAGTGACATGTATTCCATGATAGTGTGATCTGCTTTTCAAACATTTTTAATTACCCTAAAAACATTTGACATATCCTACATAACTTGTGTATTGATAAGTTTGTATTGTAGCATCCTGTTGCACTCTTCAATTTTATTATAAATCTTATTTTACAGTCTT